AGCTGACTATTTCTGTCAATGGTAAGTTTGTGATAACATTTGCCACTCGCTTGAGCAACTTAATATATAAATCTAGAAGTAAATGCAAAAGTAAAAAGCATTGAATAATGTGTTATTTAAACATGTCTGTGAAAGATTGTATTACTGTACTGTGTAAAAAAAACAAAACTTTTCAGTGACAATGTTTGGATTTGAAATCAAAATAATGGATAAATGTTGTGTTTGTAGTAAACAGCCACGGATCAGTAGCGGACTCCTGTGTGAAAGCACAGACCGTGCTGCTTCCCCTCTCACAAGAGACAGCTAAGAGGGGAATTCCCCCCATTTTCAAAAATGAAATTCAGGCCCTGAATAAATGTCTAAAAATCCTGATTGGAGTATCACTATAAATAGCTTTAAAAAGATCGGTATCGGCAGATACTGCTTTCTGTGATCGGCCCCAAAAATCCTGATCGGAGCACCCCTACACCCCACCACAAGGAAATACTGGATAAAAGTTAAGTTGCAGGCTAAATTCAAACTCAAATTTCCAACATAAGCACCACAGTTCAACATGACTGGAGCACACATATGCAAACTAGCAACCTTTCATTTACCAACTTTTAACTACTACCACTACACCAAACCACCTCTGGAAATACTGTATAAAGGTATGCTGTAGGCTAAATTCGAACCCAATTTTCCCAAATAAGCACCGAGGTTTAACATGTCTGGAGCACACATGCAAACCTTTGGGCTACATTTCAAAGCGAAAAGATGGTCATACCTGAGGGGGTGGACGTGGGGGGAAGGTGCAGGGCGGCCTGCCGTGTTTCTGGTGAAATGGCAGGACATACGAGGGGTCCAGGGGAACCCAGGGAATCCCTGGAGACACAGCTGGGGGTCCGCAGTGTGCGTTCTGCAGGTGGTACACGCCGCGAGCAGCCTTGGTCTCATCGCTAGCTTTAAAGATGGTCACGAAACCCTCACGAGGTTTGTGGACTAACAGGTATCGTCCTTCCAGTAATCTGGGGCAGGTGTTAAAAGATGGCTTTATTAAATTACAGCACTGCAACAGCTGAAAGGAAATTTGTAGTTGATGACAAGCTTTCCAGTGCAAACAACGAAAATGTCACATTCTTACAAATACTGAACTACAGGCTCAATACCTAAAGCTTACGCATGTCATTTGTAATGTTAAAATGCTTTCACATACCCTAGCTTAATATGCAGAATTACACACTTTTAACGACAGATTGAAAGAAATGCAAATCACGCTAAGGGTAAAGTGACAATTTTAAAATTGATCTAAAAAAGTGAAAGAAACTCACGATGAGACTTTTTTCAGTAAGTGGTAGAGGGTGTTTAAACATCTAGTTGGCCTGGAAAAATTTTTTTAATCACATTAAATTACATTAAAACTTGACACAAGAGATAAAATATTAATATAATTAATAACTATAAATTAATGTTTCAAATACATTTTAAAATGAGTAAATAATTAAATTATATTAAAAAAAAATTTAAATAAATATTATTACAGTATTTCAGATGAGAATCTGTGAGAATTTGTCAAACATGTAGACATTCTTTAAAAAAAAAAAATCTGTAAAACTTTTTGGAATTGGAATTTTTAAAAGTTTTAGATTCAAGCAAGAAGTAAAATGCAGTAAAATTGTAGTATTCAATTAATATTATATATATATAGTTTTTTTTTTTTTTTTTACATTTTTTAAATTTAGGACATTATTTATTATAAAACAAAAATAATATTTAATATTCTTATTAACATTAAATAATTATATTATAAAAATTAATCAAAATCTTATTATTAAAAAAATCTTAATTATCATTTTCATGATAGCATGAAAAATGCTTTAATTTGATAATACAAATGAATCGCTGATTCAGATCAATTTTTTTACCTACATGTATTTTTACTACATTTTCAAAGATGAAAAATGCTTTGATTCAATGATTTGTTTGCATAAATAATCAAATTAGTTGAATTAGGTATGAACCGATTCATTAAAATTTTCACCAAGATATATTTTTACGGCAACATTTTACAGCGCAAGCATTGCTTTAATTTGAATCCATAATGCAAATGAATCATTGAATCTGTTATGATTTGATGCACTGAAATTTATGCAGTAAATTTGTAGTATTTAATAAAGAAAATTATTTATACATTTAAAAATAATTTTTAAAATGTAAAACAATGTTATAAAAACAAAACAATATATATTTAATATTCAAGAAATATTAATATTAAATAACAATATTATAAAAATTAATTGAAATGATCTTATTATAAAAAAAAACTTAATTATCATTTTCTTTGACATGAACCAATATAACAAAGCATGAAAATGCTTAATTTGATATCGCAAATGAATTGCTGATTCAGTTATGAATTGATTCATCAATTTTTACAACATTTTCAAGACTCGATGCTTTTATTTTCACTACATTTTACGGCACGAATCTGTTATGAATTGACATTAAAATTTTCAGTTTATTTTATTAACAAAAACTTGACTTGCTAATGCAAATGAATTATTAAATCAGCTATTTATGAATTTATGAACTGAACTGATAAGATGTTATTAAAAGCCCATCGCTTTTTTTTAGCTCTGCAATACTACATATTTTCATTTCTACAGGTCACGCGAACATGATCTTTTTTAAATGCTCTCACACTATAGATATTTTCTTCTCCATCTGATTTGCTCAAACAGATTCGTGACAGAATTACAGCATACAGCACCCTATAAAACTGCATAACCTTTCATGATAAAGAGAAATAAAACACATTTCATCAGGTCTCTTACTTATGAAGGACACAGTACTGGAGTGCAGAAGTTTCTCGGCCCACAGCTGACAGGCCTCAGTGTGGGTCAGACTCTCGGCCCCGTAGCACAGCTGATACTCCAGCTTGGGTAAAACATGCACCGGGACGGCCTGGATGAGAGCAGACTCAATCATTACCCACTCAAATGGCAGTTCCAAGTCACTGTGCTCTATAACCACACGCAGAAGAAATCCTGTGCTGCGTTGAGAACCATTGACTGGAAAGAGTCTGATAAAACATTGATAAGATTGAAAAGTCAACTCTACAGCTTTGCACAGGAAAGCTGACTGTTTAAAGAAAGGGTGTGGTGGACATTACTCAACCCTGGTTCAAATATAAAGATTAATGCTTGGCATATTGACATACTGATTCAAATCCAATAAAGGGTCGCTAAAAATCACTGACAATGATAACTAATAATGATAATAAGATGCATTGTGAGTGTTTACACAAGACCTGAGGAGTTGAATGATGTTCTCATCTGTTGCTCTAGGGGCGTCCACTTCAACCTTTTAACTAAAGGATCATTGTGTTTGTGTATTAGCATGTGTCCAGCTCACCCTGAAGGTGTCTTTGTCGTGTCTGGGGTGAGCGATGTCCACACTGCTGCGCACCATGAGCAGAACGTCCAGCAGGCTGTAGAGTTTGTACAGAGCGCTGCCCTCTGCTGGAGGATCATAGTCCATCTCATCCTCAGCACTGACCTGAAGATCCTCCTTCAGAAGACCTGCGGATAGATGGATGAACTTTTTGTGCAAGAAACCTTGACTTTAAAATTCTAAAAATATCAAATACGGCCCCTTTAGATCATAATATTATTATTAAATGCTAGTATTTTCAGATTCTTCCCCCTCTTACATGTGACACAGATCTGTTTTTTGAATGCAAGTGTGAACAGAAAAATCAAATGTTGATTTGACACACTGAACCTGATATTTGAAATTATTTAAATACATAATAATAATAATAATGGACTTAATCTTGCATATGTTATCTTGCAACAAATATCTTGCATTTATTACATATTAAAATGAAAATATTATTATAAATAAAATTATATATATATAT